TGGCACACTCCACGAATCTGTTACCACTGACATATACGAGCTACCAGCATACAGAGCAATATACATGTGCTAAACACTAGTAAAATATCGTCAATGACCTTGAAAGTTATAAATTACACTTGCTAAGCTGAATGGGAGACAGTGGTTAAAAAATCATGAATTTCCAGTAATTTACTATTCTAAAAGAGCCTACAAAATATAAGCCTTATCACTTCTAAAATTTTCTCCATCCTGAACGGACCAGTGCCCTACGTTTTATTGTTCCACCATTTTATTGTTCCACTATCCCAAGCAAACATCAGTCAAAAAAATCTACATTTTCATTAAATATCACCAAAACATAATGGAAAAGATGTCTAATGTTAGTTAAAATATTTAATATTTTTTTAGTATAGTATGTTCTTTAATAGAAAAGAAATTAAAATTCCCCTTGGACAAGGACTTTCTGAATGCAGTAATGATGCAGGTCTTCTCCCAACAAAATCTTTGTGCAAAGTTGCTTTAAGTATCAGATACAGATCAAGACAAACGAACCACATGCAAGGAGTTCAATTTTTAAGTGAACATCACTGTTGCAGTATCTGTAAGTAGGAACACAAGGTATCTGCTTATTGATGACAGGATTTCACGAAGTGATACATAAACTCTCAGTCGGTTCTGCCGATGATCAATGGCACGCATACACAGGGGCGGGCAGAGTTGGCTTACAGTTGTGAGTATGTCAAACACAGAGTTTATTCGTGTATTATTATTTATTTATTGTAAACCTACCCTTGGCCACCCCTGTATGTAAGATTGCTAACTCTTTATAAAGTGCAACAACGAGATGGGCAAAACGGGAACAGAACTTACAGGCCTCACTAACCCCGTACTCTAACCGTGAAGTTTATCTGTCCCAACAAATAAAACACGTGTCACAGAGAAATGTAACAGATAAACTCACGGATAAAGTCACTACCTAGTTCCAGGCCTAACTCTACAAGCACTAAAATAATTTCAAAACTTCCACTATGAACTTTGAGCTTTTGCATGAGGACAGACCATCAGGGACCAAGGGCAGGAGCTCCTCTCTGTAAGTCAGCTCCCCTCTGGCTGGGAGAGCGCATTTTCCTTTCCACCAAAGACTGAAGGCTGTTTCCCAGACTGCCCTGAGATACAAAAAAAAAAGTGTTTCAGAACCGTAGAACAGGCTGGAGCAAAGCAACACAGAGCGGAGCAGGGTGGAGCGACCGGACTGGGGCCAGCAGAGCTGCCTTGCCCCAGGGCTGCCTCCAGCCCCGCTGCTTCACAGTCGAGCTGGAACACTGCTGAACTGTTCCACAATCCTGCTGCTCCCACAGCTGAGCTGTCTGCACTGAATAAAACAGTTTCCTTCACCACACCCCAAATTGGGGATTCCTGTTGGTGTTGAATTGGCACCAATTACCATCGACTGACATCCTTAGGTGATTTCATCATTGTGTGAACATCATAGAGTGCAAACACAGGTGGTATAGCCTACTGCACACCGAGGCTACATGGTATAGCTTATTGCTCCATAGGGGAGAAAAGTAATTTCCCTCTATCCTTCAGGGTTCTTGGCTAAGACATCCCTGTACTAAAAGACAGATTAGCAGGAGAAAAACAAACAAAAGTTTAATAACATGTGTACCTCCTGCGTACATGAAAGAGACTCATGAACTCTGAGTAACTCCCAAAATCTTCAGCAAAAAAGATGTTGAGCCCGGCCAGGCGTAGCTTAGCGGTTGAGCATCGACCTAGGATCCAGGAGATCAAGGTTTGATTCCTGGTCAGGGCACATGCCTGGGTTGCAGGCTCAATCCCCAATTAGGGGTGTGCAGGAAGCAGCCGATCAATGACTCTCTCATCATGGATGTTTCTCTCTCTCTCTCTCTCCCTCTCCTTCCTCTCTGAAATCAATAAAGATATATTTTTTAAAAAAATGTTGAGGGTGGGGAGCCAATTATGAGAAGCCACAAGGAAAACAACAATAAACAGGGGTAAGGTTGTTCTGCAGGTTTAGCAACACTGTCTTCTGCAATGATAAGAGTTTCTACAGAAAAGGTCATGCCCAGCTTTCAGTGAGGGAAAAACACATACAAGTGTAACCATCAAAGGGTAACTTCTTCTTGGATTTCAGAACTTCTCCCCTATCAGCTGTTTCTTAAAACTAACCAGCCTAAAATAATCCTTATGGCAAAGAGACATATTTGGCGGTGATAAATTCTGTTCCCCTATATCTCCTAGGCTACAAACCTATACAACACGTCACTGTACTGAATACTGTAGGCAACTGTAACACGGCGGTAAGTATTGATGCAACGCCCTGCACTACGGCATTATGACGGCTACGGCATCATTAGGCAATAGGAATTTTTCAGCTGCATTATAATCTTACAGGGCCATCATTATACACATAGTCCACTGACTGAAACATCGTTTCACAGTGCATGACTGTAAAAAGACAGAATCTGGATGTGTTAAAGACCCATAAATTTAAAAGAAAACTATGAAGTTAGTACATAAAATAGGAGAGTAACTTTGAAACATAGAGATGGGGAAAAACTTCTTAAACAAAACCCCCAAAACAAAAATCCTAAGTCAAAAAAATTGTTTAAATTTGATTATATCACAACTATAGATTATAAACAAATGACAGAATAGGAGCAGATGCACTTGTAATATTTAAAGGCACCCCTGCAGATCAACAAGGAAAGGACTATAACCTCCAGTTGAAAACAGGGAAAGGGGTGAACAGGCAATTCTATACAAGGGAGAAGCCCGAAAGATAAAATGCACATGAAGAAAGGCTCAGTCTCCTTAGGCACGGTGAAATGTAATTTAAAATGAGTTTTTACTGTGTTATCTATTAGTCCGGTGGGGATATAAGGACATAGAAACTCTCATGAACTGCTTACAGGAGTACAGGCCCTTGCAGCTTGTTGGAACACCCCCTGGCAGTCTTTACATAAAATATGTGCGTAAATAACCTATGATCCAGAAATCACACTCCTGGATATAAATCTCAAAGAAAACATCATAGAGGTCTACAGGTATGTTTATCATTGTATTGTCGATAGTGGTAGGAAAATTAAAGTAAATGTGGGCATCCACAAATGGGAGAGCAGACATAAAATATAGTAGATATATATTGTGAAATACTGTGTAGTAGTTAGAAGCAATAGACAGAGACACGAACAGATCTTTAAAACACAATAGAGAGAAAAAAATTAATGAGATATAGAGAATGATATCCTCTCTATAAATTGAAAATGTGGGCACCCAAAACAACATACATTAATGACACATACAAACAGAAGGATACACAGCACACATATTAGAACGGTTGCTTATGGGTTTGGTAGCCAAGGGAATGGAGTGAGAACTGGAAATAAAAGACAATGAATAAAAAAATTAAATTAAAAAAGAGACAAACAAACAGGAGACACTCCTTGAAGAGCCCAGTGATGATCACTGAATCGAGAAAGATTAACTGAATCCTCTCTCTGCACCTGAAGTCCAAAACAAACTTCAAGGAATCACACCAAACATAGAGCAAACCACTAAAGCTAAGTATCATCTTACCTTATCATGCCAAAGGCACAAGACCAGCTCACTATCAAAGTGTTCAGTGTTAATACTGTTACATAGATAAATCCCCCCTCTTCCTTTAGTTCAAAACAGAACTTATATCCAAGATAAAAATAAAATTGTAAAATTGACACAAGGCTCACTACCTCAAATTTTAAGTTCCCAAAGTGATACCCAAATACGGCAAAGCCCAGTTCCTTTGATTTACCTAATTATCAAGATCTTTTAAAATGTAGCTACAGGTGGCAATAAGAAACAATAAAGTGTATTCTCTAGTTTTGCCGTTAAGTAGGGCTCTGGGGCATTTAAAAAATGAAGATAGACATTGAAACAAATGAATTTCTCCACCATAACCTATAATTGAAGTTAACAAGGCATTTTCTACTTACACTGTTCCATTTTTCCAATCTGAAAGAACCACGACCTGTTATTTGGGATGAAATCAAGGCAGTTTTTGATTCTTCCTACTAATTTCAACACATCACTTTCACTTTTAAACTCCCCTCCATCCTGTCACAAGTTCCTTATAAAGCAAGAACATTTGTGTGCGTGTGACAAAATTTCAAAAAACTCAGTCAATTCTTCATACAGCTGGTGATTTTTGTCATCTTCACCACGAAGACCTAAGCAATTAACACCTGAAGGAGTCACAGCTTGTCTTTCTTGGCTCCCAGCAAATGCTACTGTGCAAGCCAGCTGCAGCTCATGCACAGCATCGACAGCAACAACGCAACTGTAGCTACCGCTGTTGCAAACTCTGAGAGCCAGCAGAGTCTGCCTAGCCCTCGAGACACTGGCACAGCAGGTGAATCAAAACTTGAAAACGCAATTTTGGAATCAAAGGCAGGGTAGTGCCGACTGCAAACTCGTCGCTTGGGAACGCTGCCTCCCCTTTGCGAGAGGGCGCCGCAGGCATCCTCTCCCACCGAGTCCTAGCGCATCTCAAAGATGCAACTCAAGCAGGCGTCTCAACACCGCAGGCAAGGACACGCTCAAGAGGAATGCCGGCGGGTAAGGGGGGACCCTATGGATCCCCCAAATAAGCACATGGCCGGAAAACACTGTCCGTGACCAGCCCACCCATCATCACTAAGCGCCTCGCCCCGTTTAGACTGCCACTGAGAGCAGAGCGATCCCATCTCACCACCAAAGCCAGTGTCGCCAGAAACGATGTCACTTACCAGGCCAGGGCGCCCCAAAGACCCGCTGGCAAGACCCCGACTTCGCTATGGGCCTGAACCTCAGGTGCAGCCCAGCAGGGAGCTTCCCGCAGCAGAGCTCCGACAGCCGGCGCCGCCCCCGGAGGGAGCGGGCTGTGACCCCTGACCCCCGGGCCCCTTGACCTCCACGTCGTGGGCACATCCCGCTCCGGCGATCCCCCTGGGGAGGCTCGAAAGCCCGCTCCCTACCTGTCACAGCTTCATCTCCAGCCCTGATGCAGTCTGTCGGATCACCCGTAGACGCCCCGGCAAAGGAGCACAAGGCAAGGACGCATCTAAGCCGACTGCGGGTGGGAAAAAGCTCTGGGGCCGCCACCCCCCGCGCAGCTGCCGTCTCCCCGACCTGGGCTGCGGGGAGCCGCTTCTGCCAACCACGGCCGCGGGCGCTGCGGTAAATCAGCTGACGCCGGCCGCCACTGCCGTGACTTCGCAGCAACTGTCGCAAAAAAACGAGAGGGAGGGAAATGCTCAACGTTTCCATACACGCCGGGCCTAAGCTGGAACCATGGAGACGGAACGGAAGTGAAGGGGTCAAGTGTGGGCAAGGAGCGCCGCGGCTGCCATTTTGGTTATGGGAAGTGTGTTCTAGGCTCCCTTCTCGCCTCGCATGCCCACGCTGGGAGGACCAAGATGGAAGGCAGCGTGAAGCGGCGAGGGTAGGTGTTGGTTCCTTGTGACCGGGACCTGGCACGTGGACTCTTCTGCCTCCGCGACTCGGACCGAGAGCCTGGAAAGTGTTAGGCCCGCAACTTGGTTACTGTTTTCCTCCGGCGCCCAGATCGAGCGGTGGCGCACCACAGAGGGCCCGGCGGGGGAAGCGCCGCGCTACT